GGTGAGAGAAGCTGTAGAGAGAGCGACCTCACAGGTGAGAGAGCGACCTCACAGGTGAGAGATCGACCTCACAGGTGAGAGAGCGAGAGAGCGACCTCACAGGTGAGAGAGCGACCTCACAGGTGAGAGATCGAGAGATCGACCTCACAGGTGAGAGAAGCTGTAGAGAGAGCGACCTCACAGGTGAGAGAGCGACCTCACAGGTGAGAGAGCGACCTCACAGGTGAGAGATCGACCTCACAGGTGAGAGAGCGACCTCACAGGTGAGAGAAGCTGTAGAGAGAGCGACCTCACAGGTGAGAGAGCGACCTCACAGGTGAGAGAGCGACCTCACAGGTGAGAGAAGCTGTAGAGAGAGCGACCTCACAGGTGAGAGATCGACCTCACAGGTGAGAGATCGACCTCACAGGTGAGAGAGCGACCTCACAGGTGAGAGAAGCTGTAGAGAGAGCGACCTCACAGGTTAGAGAAGCTGTAGAGAGACCTCACAGGTGAGAGAGCGACCTCACAGGTGAGAGATCGACCTCACAGGTGAGAGATCGACCTCACAGGTGAGAGAGCGACCTCACAGGTGAGAGAAGCTGTAGAGAGAGCGACCTCACAGGTGAGAGATCGACCTCACAGGTGAGAGAGCGACCTCACAGGTGAGAGATCGACCTCACAGGTGAGAAATCGACCTCACAGATGAGAGATCGACCTCACAGGTGAGAGATCAACCTCACAGGTGAGAGAGCGACCTCACAGGTGAGAGATCGACCTCACAGGTGAGAGATCGACCTCACAGGTCGTCGTATCTGAAAACTCATGTGTTGTAGTACCAGAGCAGACCACTAGGGGGCAGCAACAATCAACACACAGGGGGACAGAACTGTGCTTTCATTGAGTTTCAATTGTGACCAAAGTCCCAGAAGCTCCTAAAGACCTCAGATTAAATGTTATCTATGAAGTGTTTTCCTCACTGAGTGTGTATGTGTTGTTGTTGTGATGTTGTTTTTTCAGGCGTGCAGGAGCTGCTCCCCTCCGCCATGACGGACTCCGGCCTCAGCTCCTCCTCCACCTCCACCAGCCTCGGGGTGGGGGGGGTGACGCACCTCGCCCCCCCGCTGATCAGCCAGGTCGACGCTTCTGCAGAACAAGACGAGAAAGTCAGAGCTCTCATCGAGTTCATCACGTCCAGGTGAGAGGAGGAACAACAACAACAACACTGTGACATCAACACAGACACCAATATTACTATTACTACTATTATTATAACTACTTATGATTAAATAACCTGGCCAACGACGGATCGATTTTAATTTAGGACAATGGCTGAAATTCTAATTAAAGTTTTTGTCCGAGCAAACCTTACTGACTTAATTGATAACTTCTTAATTGATAACTTCTTAATTGATAACTTCTTAATTGATAACTAACATCGCCCTAATTAAGGTGGTGAAAGTTAGAATTGCAATTAATCCCACAGCTTAATTCATCTCTCTCTCTTGTCTGTTTTTTGGGGGTGAAAAACTCAATTAAAGCTGAAATTTGCGTACATTTTGAATGCTGTAATGCCCTTCAGTATTAATCAGTTTGCATTAAATCAACACGCGTTCACCAAGTTTCTCTTTCTGTTCAATAATCTGCCTTCACGCCTCCAGCTGTGTCTCAAAGGGTATTTTTACATCGCATGGTTTGGTGTTTTTTGGTTTGGTGACCTCTTGGCATTTCTTATGGAGGTCTAAAGCTGCCATTATATCAAACGTACGACTTAATTAACAAATCAGTACAAATATTTATTTTTTATGCACGGGGCAAATCACGTGTTTTTGCATTTTTTATTATTAAGCAACGTATTTTATTTTTACATTTATTAATGTAATTATTCATTTATTGTGTAATTTTAAATGTATACATTTTTATTGATAGAATGATTTTATTAAACTCACAGGAACAAATATACTGGCAGCATTAGTCCTCCCTATGTTTACCTGGTGTGATGAACTCGGATGTTTTCAGGTGTGCTGTTATTTCTTCGCTGTATTGAAACACATTTCCTGACCTGTGTGTTTGTGTGTGTGTTTGTGTGTGTGTGTGTGTGTTTGTGTGTGTGTGTTTGTGTGTGTGTGTGTGTTTGTGTGTAGGAAGCGTGGCCCGCTGTGGAACCACGAGGACGTCTCTCCAAAGAACCCGAACATAAAGAGCGCCGAGCAGCTGAGTGTGTTTGTGCGGCACGTGGTGACCGTCTTCAAACACTCGCCCTCAGGTCCGTACTTCCTGTTGATTCACAAACGTATTAATTAAACCTTCGATTCTGATTGGTCAATTTGGGAATCTGGCGGTCTCTTATATCTCGATAGCAGAGTGCAGCTTATTAAGGGACTATGAGTAGTCATATCAATCCGCAGGAAGAATTCCGGTCAACTAATATAAAATAAATAATCTCAGAATTCTGAAAATGAATGAAAAGGGCAAAAATACAAATTCTGATTTAAATCAGAAATGTTTTTTTTTTTTTATTGAGAATTGTTCTTTAATTGCTGAGAAAAAAAGGCATAAATATTTTTGAGATTTTAAGAAAAAAAACTCAAAAAACATCTGAATTCTGACTTACATTTTTTTTTAAATAGCAGAATTTTTCAGAAAAAACTTGTTATTTTTATTCATAATGTTTAGAAAAGTCAGAATTCTCAATTCTGAGGTTTTCAGATTATTATTTTTTTTTCAGAATTCTGACTTTAATCAAAAAAAAATATTCTCATGAAAATATTTACAAAATATTTCTAATTCGGAGAATTATTAGAAACAAATCTGAATCTTGACTTTGATCACAAAAATGGTTTCAACTGTGACCCTAATCTTCTTCTGTAGTTTTTGTATATATTTAATTTTTATGTAATAACTTTTTATTTAGTTTTAATGTTTTTATTTACATATTTTTGGTTTTCATATATTGGGTTATATATTTGGGTTTTAGTTTGATACATATTTAGTTTTAATTGTTTCATATTTAGTTCCAGTTTATATGTATATTATATATACTCAGTGTATACATATGTGGACAGGAAGTCCAGAAGTAACAGTTTTTCTGCAAAACAATCATTTTTAAATGAATAAAATCAAGACTCCGGGTTCTTTGAGTTAAAGCCCGGGTCTTATTATCCATCACAATCCCCCCGGGTTCAGGTGATGATATCTCCCTGTCCGTCCCCCCTCAGGTTTCCAGCTGGACTCCCTGCTGAGCGAGGTGTCTCTGCAGACCGCTCTCTCCTGCTCCTCCAGACATTACGCAGGACGGTCCTTCCAGATCTTCAGAGCTCTGAAGCAGCCTCTGACTCTGGGCACGCTGTCCGACATCCTGTCCAGACTGGTGGAGACGGTGGGAGACCCTGGAGAGGAGGCGCAGGTCAGGACATTAAAAACCTTCTACTTTAATATCCATATACTTTTACTCACTTCTGGAGAGGAGGCGCTGGTCGGGACACAGTAGAAACTGACCCCAGGTGTTTATCCCCAGTAGAAACTGACCCCAGGTGTTATCAAACTGACCCCAGGTTTTATCAAACTGACCCCAGGTGTTATCAAACTGACCCCAGGTGTTATCAAACTGACCCCAGGTGTTATCAAACTGACCTCAGGTGTTATCAAACTGACCCCAGGTGTTTATCAAACTGACCCCAGGTGTTT